AATTTATTCGTGTTTTTCTCGTTGCCATGTTCCCACCAATAACGTAGCTCCATTTTCTGCCTTTAAAAGCACACACAACCCACAATTCCTCTATTCGCTCCGACGAAGGGCTAACGCTCGAAACGTCAGCTTTTGTAATCGTTACGGTGGCCAATTTACCATTTCAACTTCGTTGATATATCCAAATTATTTCGTTACTCCCACCGACGCAACCCCAAACAGTTTCTTTCGAAACTATCAGCCTTTATTCATTTCTAGCGAAACGTTTGCTTTATCAGAAAACGACAATAAGTTCACCTATCACCTCATTGTGAGCGCTCCGAGGCTTTGAGCAACGCAAGCCTTAAAGATGTCTGTAAGCGGCGCGGCAATGATTATTAGTTCCAAACCCCGGCAAACATCACCCTGACTCGTCTCAAATCTTCCCGCGGGCGGAGAGACTAGCCTGCAGCGCTTATAGTAAGGGCTCCTGCGCAGGCTATGAAATCCCAACAACCAAAACTTTCGAAGATTTAAACCTCCGCTTGTTTCATTTGAAGTAGTGATTTTTACTTCCTTTTATTGCTCCCTGATTTTTCCTGATGACTCAAACCAATCTTGATAACATAAACACAAACGAGAGCCAGTGGGCTCTCTAGATACATGCTCGCATTTGCTGAGCCGAAACAATGGCCAAACCAATAAATATCCTCTAAACTGGCATCCACATCCTGCCATGAATTTGGTCATAAAGTTAAAGCGAAAAAGTGCTATGCATGTATCAAAAATACGTTTCTTACATATTTTCTTTGGGCAAATCATTTTGCTTTTGGCCCCGGAATTAAACCAGCGTTCCCCTCACCTCTACTCAAATTTCCTATCTGCATGTTTTGAAGAGACGTTGAATTTGGAATCAGAGGGGCTGAATAAAAAGAGAGAAGAAAAGTTAACATGACTTTAATAAAACTGAAACTTATTAAACCCTGCGTATGCGCATTTGTGTTTTTTAGCCTGTGACTAGGCCGCCTGCTCATTATTAGCGTTTCTTCGCCTGGGAGAAAGGATTGGGCCTCGAGCTACAACGGCCGGCGAGACGTCTGGATCTGGAACGGGTCTAGAATTCGTGCCAGACCCATAGCATATCTCTTCTCGACTCGTATCAAATATTCCCGCTGGTCGAGAAACGCGTGTCCTGCAGGCGCTGAGAACGGGAGGAGGGGAGAAGTGGGGAAGGGAAGGGAGGGAGGCTGCTCGCGGGCTAACTTGAATTCGGAAAATTTTAAAAATAAAAACACATTGCATCAGATTCCCTTTGCTTTATTCTGAGATTGGCTTCAACTAACCCTCCCCTCAAACAATCAAACGCTATCCAAAAAACATTAAATCATTATACACTGTAGTATTCTTTAATTGCTGTAGGGAAATAACTCACAGACTGGTTTTTGAAACATACCAAAATACGTCATAACCACCTTCGTAAATATGCTGTTAGTTTATAAAATGGGCAATACAGGATTGCATTTCAAGTAGCAGTGCCTTGTTTACAACTCACCAGCCAGCCTATCATCTACATGAATATCAGGTTCATCTGAACTGGCTTGCCTGCTGAGGAGCCAAATCTTTGTGAGGATCTTGAACAACAGAGCTAATGATTCGTTCTTGTCTGTGGTTAGATTAAAAGAACAAAAAACAAAAACAAAAACATTTTATTCATCTGGATAAGCTGGGTGTCGACTAAAAAGCCTTTCTAGAAATCACTGAGCCAGCTTCAATCATCCCGGGTGAGATTGCTGTAACACTTGTTGGTAATTCGTCAGGTCTCTGTACAGTCTTCAGTGGTAGCGTTAATGAAGTCTTCGGTGGATTGTAGCTTACGTTTGGATTCGTGGGTGCGTGGTTGTAGTATTGTCGTCAGGAACTTGAATATTTAGTTTGTAGGAGAACCACAGAACGAAACTATAGGTCGCATCGGGAAACCGGGTTTGAGTTTCGGCAGACCGTAAAGGTTCGGTGGCTTTAGTACTGAGCAACTTAGTCGATAGTGGCTTATTCTTCTTGAGTGTCAGTAGTTTACTTTTGCGTTTGCGTTAAAGCGTAGGAGTCAGGTCACGTTTGAGTTCTTCGAAGGTTTGTTTGTTGTTCAATAGTGCGTCTCTTTCGTCGCAGCTTTTTACATCAGTTACTCATCCTTTGTAGGTTGGTAGCATAACTATTTATTTCATACACACTGAGATTTACACTGAGAAGTACTTTGGTTCGTGTCTCTGATCGGACGAACGACGTATTTTCAGAGTCGTTCGCTTCCATCGAATTGCGTCGGTCATCTCTCAGCATGTATGAAATAAAAACATCATACCACGGAAAGTGCGCCCGAACCATTTATATTCACTCGTTGCCATGCATAAAAAAAGTCACTCGTTCTCTTCGCTCACTCGTTTTCTTCCATTTTTTTTTTGATGCATCGCAACTCGTCACAATAAAAATCGTTCGGGCGCACTTTCCATGGAATAAACTCTATTTCCTTGTCGTTTCACTGTAACAACGAATTAAAGATTTGCAACATATTGTACTCCACAAGCTTCGTTATAACTAGTCATTAGAGTAAGAGGGTATTCAGACTTGCGAATTTCATCTCTGTTAAAGCTGTTCAGCCCCCACCTGCTGATGGGGTGATGGACGGCAGTACAGCGGGTGTGCTTTGTCCCCAGAGACGGATCAACACCAGCATTTCACGTAAGGCACCGAGGGTATTTGTGTCACGGATCAAGCTGACCTATAGAAAATAAGAAAAAATCGTACTGGAAAATTTTAATAAATTGTCAAAATGACTACACTTTTTCCGCAGGCACAATGAAAGAGAAGATTCTAGTTGTTGTTATTGTTGTTTTTTTTTTTTATCTGTGTTAATTGCTGTTATCCATCCTGCACTTGTCAGCTTACCCCGGGCGCAGACTCCTTATTTTGCTGAGATGTGAAAGCTACCACCACAAACATAGCAAGGTCAGTCAGCCATTGGACGAGAGGGAACATTGACAACGCTGTTGCTGTAAGAACAAATAAAAACAAAAAAAGAAAACAAACAAACAGAAAGCCCCTCCATTAGATGAGGTAAGAATTACAAATGTGACAAAGAAACTCAACATATAGAGAAACCGTACGGTCAACTACTGTTTGTCGTACTTTCTGACAGAAATGGAAATTTTGGCCAGGATTGGCGCGTGGCATTTGCGAAACAGCCTCGATTAACTACAACGCATGTACATTAAAACGATACATGGGTCACATTGGATATAGCGCCGGCTAAAACTTGTGGCGAGCAAATATTTCATTTACGCCTTTTCAATTTTTTAGTTTATTTAGTTATCCTGATGTAAGCTTTTCAAAATAATTTATTACCTAACCCAAGATCTTATTACCTCTGAAAGAGATCGATAAGTACTGCTAATCTCCACAAGCATAACAGTTCAATTCGAGTCAATCACTGGCAAGGAAATTGTATGAAAAGTGGGTGGAAGCATATCAAATGCTGGCAGGCAAAAGGGGCCGGCAGTAATGTTTCTTATAAGAGAAAGACGGTATTTCTCGTTTATCAAGGGATTATTTCTCTTACTGCTATCTAAACTCAGCTCTTTTGTATCCAACACTTGTAAGACTTTGTCAACCTCGAGATCCAAAGTCGATGAAATCTCTGAAAGAGACGCAGAGAACAAAAATTAGGTCAAATCACATCAACGTCTGACTTGGAGACAAAGAAGTATTTTTTCAACAAAATAGGGCAATGACTCAAGTGGACTCGGTCGAAAACAACTGAAAACAAAACAAAAGTAATCAGCAGGCATATCAGAGTAACGGAAAATAACTCAAACGGAGCCACTGTAAACTCAAAGTAAAAAAACAAATGAGCGGGCCTCGAGTGCTAGAAACTTTGAAGTTTCTTATGTTCTGATTGGTCAATTAAAATTGACCAATCAAAAGTGGTCTTAATTTTCTGTCGGTTTTTCGAGTGGATGGCATGACCATTCAAAGCAGTCACGGAACTTAATGAAGGAAAAAACCAACGCAGTCCCACACTGCTTTCAGCACGATTTACATAACAATTAGCTCTGATGAGAAAGGCCGCAGGACTCAAAGTTACCAAGGAAAAATTTCATCTATTTCCAGTCGACATACATGTATGCTATGGCTATTCTAGCATGCTAGCTATTTATCAAAGGGGCTGTAATTTTAAACAAAAACAAACACAAAAACCCGAAAACCGAAAAACCAAAACAAAAGAAAGCACAAAACTTACTGGCAAGTTGTTCTGCAGCAGTGTGTGAAGATTTCAGCAGAGATCTAAAGGCTGCTGCTATGGCGACCAGAAGCTGACACACATAACAATCTACTGCCTGCCCTGCTCCATCCTTCATACATCTGAACAGACTGGCTTTGATCGCGCGGAACCTGGACAACCGAATGTGCTGCTGAGGAATGTCCTGAATTCTGAACTCATCTGTGAACTGCCTTGAAACTGCTTCGAGGGTATCTAACGACGAGAGGTACATGATGGCGAAAGGAAAGAAATAAAAAGTGCAACTACTTAATAAATGCATGGCTATATAAACGTAAATTAGAAAAAATACTGGAAGAAGGAAGAATGGAACGAAGGATGGAATGAATCAGTGGATAAACAGATGATAGGTGGACGAACGGATGAAACCATGCACCAATGAATTGACAACACAGATAAAAAATAATGAACGAGAAAACGAACATGCATGTATGAAGAGAGCAAGAGAAGAACAAACCAACGAATTACTAGACGGATTGATTTGTTTATTCAGTTCAAAAGTAAGGAGGAAATAAAAGAAAGAGAAGAGGCAAAACCAGGAGAAGAAGTAGAGGAAGTACCTGGGGGTGTTCCAATGTGAGCCGCCATTAGCACATCCCACCATTCCCAGCCGGTAAGTAGAGAGTAAAGCAGCAGGTCCGTTAGGCTGCGTTTCAGTTGAGTTCCACCCATACTGTCTGTCAATGAACATATAAAGGAAAAGCATCAACCTTTTTGTTTGTCAAGCCGGGTTCATTATTTCGAACCATTGATAAAAGAGAAGCTGTTCCCAGGACTGTTACAGGAATCGTAAAGGTCATTTCGAAGATCCTCAGATGCTCTCGGTTAAAAAGTGAGGGTAGATTAACTGTCAAACCTTTAACAGGAAATAAGTTGTTGTTCTAAAGCAAATAATACTCCTTTTCACTGGATTTTGCCCTTACATTAATTCAAGTACTTACTAGGGAAGTTTGGACTGCCTGTTGTCTTCGTTGTACGACCGTCGTACAACGAACACAATAGGCATTGCTTTGTGCTGTTCTCACCGGCTACGCTTAGGTTATCAAATCAACGTGCGCGTCATTTTCGCACATTTTCACAATTAGCTGTTCGTTGTATTTGAAATGGGAGCGATTCATTTAGGTTAACAAAGATTTTTACATTGATTGATTGAAAACCAAAACCAAACTAACCCCACCAGGCAGTTAGAGTGAAGATAAATACTACCTGTACAAGGAGCCAGTCAGAGCTACGAGTCAGCAGATGTGGACGGGTGTCAAACACAGGCTAAGGTGAAAAACTAAGTCTTGATTGGTTGGGGGTTAAGAGGGAAAGCAATGAACCAATCACAAAGTGAATCAAGGCAAAGCAAGAGCAATCGTAAACTACTTCAGGCGATTACAATTCATTCGATACTCACCACCAAGATGATGCAGTTTTAAAAGTCGAATATCTCCCGCCATAGTGATACCCACCATGCAACAGCAGCAGGGAGAATAACAGATGGCGCCCAGACAGCCTGCGTTGTAGCTTGCTACAGAGAAACGTGCTCTCTTATGCGCGGTACCTGAGATAAATTTTATAAAAAAAAAAAAAAAAATGCAAACAAACTGTCACGTTTACAACGCAAAAACCTCCTGTCGACCTGGGAGCTGTATCAAGGTTTGTGCATCTTGAGAAATTCATTCTTAATTTTTCAATCTTGTCGTTGAAATCCGTTTCAATCTTGTTATTTGTTAACTATCCTCGACGCTTTTTTGGTTTTTCAAACCTCTTTGCTTAGTTCTATTCTTTTGTGTTATCCTTCTGTTTAAGAGTATTTTTTCATCGCGCTAAAAATAGCTCAAACTATGTTGTAGAAGCTCCTTCAATCACTTACCTAGTTCACTGTCTGCTGAAGGTTTCATTTTTGTGCGAAAAGACCCGCTCGGTATTAGACCAACACTATAAGATATGAAAAACATTATTGTTGATTGGTTATGTTTGGAATGTGTAGATATTATAATGGTCCGTAAACAAAATTACGCAAACTCCTCATGGTTCAAAAAAACAAAATGTGCGTTGCTCAGTTACAGCGCCTGAAAGAAAAAAATTGAGCCTGGACAAGGTTAACTCTTGCTATCAATTCTAAACTGATCATTAAATTTCATTTTCTATTACAAGCACAGCTTTAATTGAAGGTTAACGTATGAGAGAAAATCAAGAGGTTGATTTAAAAATTCCCTGGAAAAGCAGATGCTCTCTCTCAGAATAAAAAAAAACCGCACCTTTTGCCCCCTGCCTTCTGCCTTCATTAACTTACAAATTGATTTGAAGAGCAATGACAGGCGTTGAAAATCGGTACTAACAAAAATTGATGGCAATTTTTTGCCACTTGCCATCAAAGACACGTCACACTTAACTGTTTTATGTATGCGTTGCACGTGGAGAAAAACACAACTGTTGTTGACTAGTGAAACGGTAAAGGAAAAACAGTTCTCCACAAAAGTACAATAAAGTATAAATAAACTGTCGTTGATCAGTCGGTAATCAGTTGCTGATCAGTTGGTAACTTGTCGGTATTGTTTCAGTCGACTGTTGGCTGTAAGTTGGGTCAGGAGAGCTGTTCTCCTCAAAAACTGTTGCACTTTTTTCAAGTTTCCAACCTACCAATTTAGCATCTGAAGTCTATCATCATCGTATTGAACCAGTAAGATCGATGCAGGGTAGGTCAACAGATTATTCATTGGCGAGATGTCGACTTTTGGAATAGGTATGCGAGGGAGACAGAGACAAACAATCCTTGCTGGATCATCGTAAGTATTTACTTTGGTCCATTCCTGGATTATTTAAACAAAGAATTTATTAAATTCATATAAAAAAGATCGTCGCAGTAATGAACTCTCCTTGAGCAGTAATGAAAATAAGGCCTGAAAAAAATTCAGGACTGTACAGGATTTAAACCCATGACCTCTGTGATACCGATGCAGTGCTCTACCAACTGAGCTAACAAGCCAATTTTTTTTCAGACCTTATTTTCACTACTGCTCCAGTAGTGTTCATTACTGCGAATAAAGGCTGATAGTTTCTAAAGAAACTGTTTGGGGCTGCGTCGGTTGGGGTAACGAAATAATTTGGATATATCAACAAAGTTGAAATGGTAAATTGGCCACCGTAACGATTACAAAAGCTGACGTTTCGAGCGTTAGCCCTTCGTCGGAGCGAATAGAGGGATCAACGAACGCTTTTCATTCCACATATTTATTCGTGTTTTTCTCGTTGACATGTTCCCACCAATAACGTAGCTCCATTTTCTGCCTTTAAAAGCACATACAACCCACAATTCCTCTACTCGCTCCGACGAAGGGCTAACGCTCGAAACGTCAGCTTTTGTAATCGTTACGGTGGCCAATTTACCAATTCAACTTTGTTGATATATCCAAATTATTTCATTACTGCGAAGATCACTTTCATATAAATTTCTTGATCCGCAGTTTACATAATGATTTTCAAGTATTCACCTTTATTTAACGAATTTACTATTATTCAAAGAATAAATTACTTCCAGCGTAAGGGACTTAGCCAACTCAGTTGATAAACCCAGATTATCTTTCAAATAGATGTATTTCTTTATTTAAACAAAATGCACGACAATACGAGCGACTAATCATTTGTGCAGAATTATTTCCAGTGTGTTTGCATTTTGGAGTTTTTGTTTGAAGTTGGAACGAGAGCTTGTAACAGAGAGGAATTCGTTTAAGCTTTACTTTACTGAGAATGAACTTTTACGACTTGTTTTTAACTTTTGCTACTTACGTATACACTGTAATTGCCTCCACGTGGATGAGTAATTTCTTGTTGAAATCTTTCATGTAGCTGTATGGTTTCCTTCCTCATTTCCCATCGTTTGATGCAACTCCCAAATGGCCCTGAAATTTGAACACGAAAACCAAGCTTACCACAACCGGGCGGGGATTTTTAGGTTTCGATAACAAAAAGCTACTAAGATGACACGGATGGCTAGTATCAATTTATACTGAGGGTCGGAGGGTCGGGAGATTTTGGTTGCGTCACGATAAAATTGATCTGATTCCCGCATAAGGCTCTGTGATAATTATTCTTATTATCACCCTCATCAGCAGCTAGTAGGCCTTTTGCAGTTAGAGATCATGTGCTTAGATACCGCATAGCAACGCCATACTGGAGAGTAAGCACTCCAGTGATCTCAGACAAAATAGAGATCACAGAGGTCCTGCATTCAAACAAAGAATACAGCGGATAACAAGTTAAAGGGTATCCCAATTCGAGAAATCTTGTAAGTTTTAATCAACAGCTTCCTTGGAGTGTATCAACGAAAAACGAATTTTGGTGTGATTTTGCTGCTGATACACTCCGGGAAGCTGTTGATTACTTCTTACTGGATTTCTCGAATTGGGATACCTTTTGACCTGTTATCCGCTGTATTCTTTGTTTGAATGCAGACCTCTGTGACCTCTATACTGTCTGAGATCACTGGAGTGCTTGCTCTCCAGTATGGCGTTGCCATACGGTATCTAAGCACGTGATCTTAAGCTGCAAAAGGCCTATTGGCAGTCAATTTTCTAGAGTCCCCTCCCCCACTTTAAACTCTGCGACCCCCCAAATCCTCCCCACCCCCGGTAGTAGAGCACTGCACCGGTATCGCAGAGGTCATAGGTTCAAATCCTGTGCAGGCCTAAATTCTTTTTCAGGCCTTATTTTCTTTACCGCTTAAATCGTGTTCATTATTCCGAAGATCACTCTCGTATTCATTTGTTTAACCGCAGTTCACATATATGACTTTCGTATATTAAAAAAAAAATGACTGGTCCGTTATGTGCCTTGTTTAAGATCACATCACAGTTCTGAGCCGGAATCCAGTGCGCTAACAATTAGACCACTAGATCTCACAAACCACGCAATCAAACTTCTATCCAAAATGGCTTCACTGTCGACGTGCTGGTGTATAACCGGCAAAGGCAATATTTCACTTAAAATACTAACTAACACATAGTCTGTTTTCAACTGCTTCTAAAGTAATCCGAGATTGCCTTTAATTTTGCTTTTGGCTTCGTTCTGTGATTTGTCCAGAAAACCCGCGCCTCTCTATCGACCAATCAGATGCAAAACCGGCTAAAACCAATCACGATTTGGTCGCCCAATTTTTTCCCGCGCTTTAGGCGGTTTGCCTGTTTTTATTTTGAGTTCTCATTGGCTCTTAAAAGCACTTTTCTTTTTTCTGATTAGCGCTCTAATAGGATCTATGTCATTACATGTCACAGTAACATACAGTGCAGAAATCTACCATGTTGGAGCACAATGTACACTAGGACATTCAGCCATGAAATCTTAATTGATCAAAAGCACTGTACTTGTAAACTTTGCTTTAGATGTTTGAGCGCCTTATTTAACGTTTAGCATAGCAGAATTCAATAGATCTCAAATCTTGAGGCCCGTTAAGCAAATTATATATATATATATAAAAAAAAAAAACAGCTGATTTTAAAGATTTTAATCTTTCCCTTCTCCCGATTTCCATTATAGAGCAGCTTTACCTAGACAGACTTTTCAAGTCAGGAGAAAAGAAATATCTGGAACAAAGGTAATTTGAGAGAGCTTGCTTGCTTGGGTGCTGATCAAAGCAATTTAGAGAGTATACTCTTTAAAATAAGATTTATCACACTAGGATCTTACCAGTTGTACAAACAAGAAGGGCTTCCCCAGAGTGCTTGGACAAAAACTGGATATTTTTCACACGATAATCTGGATCTAAGAGCCAAACAACAACCAACATGAAATAACTCCTTTCAGAGTAAACAGTGATATTTAAGTTTAGTAATAATGCAGCAGTAGTTTTGTAAAGTACGTGCTTTTAGTTTTTGAATTAGCATCTATAATAATACCGTCAATGGCTTTCTGTGTTGCATTGGAAGTCCCAGTAGTTTTGCGATGCAAAGTTTATGACAATTGAGCTGCACTTTTCTCTATGTAGGTAGCATTAGTATTGCAAGGTTCAGTATATGTCCTCTTGCAATGTAACATTGCATCTGTTCTTAGGAGCACTGCTATCATCACATTACTACTTCTACTAAGACTACTACAATGTAGTTGTGTTGTAGTCCTTTGTATTTCTTGTCTGTAAAATAAATCACTAAAGAAAATTAATAGCAATGGACAACAATCTTGACACAGGTATCTCTGGACTGGACTGATAGAAGCTTATTTTAACACAACTTACAATTTTTAGGCTCAGTGGGTGAATGTGGAAACAGACAGGGAAGAGGATCTGACTGGATCTGACAGTCATCTAAAACAGAAACAAATAAAACTAACATCAAAATCACTCTAACGAAGGGCTAGTGCTTGAAATGTCAACTTAGAAACAATTTATGGTGGACAATTTACATTCCCAAATCAGTTGATAAAAACCAAATATTAATCTTGTTAAGATCCAACTAACACTCTCAGTAATGCACTTTTAAATTTCCTACCACAAGCTACAGGACTAATATAAATTGCTGATGAGGAAAAGACCAAGTAGCAGTAGAAATTGCTTATTAGTATATACTAAAACAGTGGATAGCATTGAAGGCGCACTCTGATTGACTAGTCATACTCCGAATATCCTTTGCTATTTACCTCTGAGCAACTCGGGAAAAAATGGCGTCCCGGTTTGCATCCATGACAAGCGAAGAAATCACTCCAATTAACGACAGTGGTGTCTATTATCTCACTGTTTTAGTATATACTAAAACAACTATTCACCTCAGTGTCGGTGGTTAGCGATGGATATCTACCTCGCCGCTTTGCAGCTCGGTAAATATCCACCACTAACCACCGACTCTGAGGTGAATAGTTGAACTATGGTTGAGCGATCAATTCCTGGGCCTGATGAAACTTTTGGATTGATCTTTCTGCTTTTTTGGTTGCTCTGGGAGCTTCACCCAGGATCTCTGCTTTATTCCCTCAATCAGAAGTCCAAATTCCAACTCAACCTTGATGTACACATGACATCAAAGCCAGTTCTTGATTGTGGGTGTTTTGGCATACATTGTGTATGAACAAAATTACATTTACCATTTCCCTTGCTATGCCTCATAAATATTATTATGACCTGAATTCCCACAGTTCCCCTTGATTTGGCGTCACTAATTGTAGGTCAACATCTCTGAAAATGTTTCATTTTGTTTCTCTAACAGAAACCAGGGGGGCCCACCAGTGAAACGTAAATACTTGAGTGAACAGGGATGATATACAGTGGTGAGATTGCCCTCCATTCTTTGCCATGTTTTTGCATATATGAACAAAATTACATTTACCATTTCCCTTGCTATGCCTCATAAATATTATTATGACCCGAATTCCTACAGTTCCTCTTGATTTGGCATCACTAATTATAGGTCAACATCTCTGAAAATGTTTCATTTTGTTTCTCTAACAGAAACCGAGGGGGGGGGGAACCAGTAAAATGTAAATTGCCCTTCATTCTTGTAGCAAGGGTTGAATTCTTGGCCCAGATACCACATTCAGGTATGACCTGGTTATTCATAGGTCCCATTTTTGCCTTAACTGTTTTTCTCCAGTTTCTTCAGTGTTTTCCCTCAACAAAACAATTGCCCCAAATTGCAAGTAAACTTAGGAATGATGGATAACCAGCCCACTCCCCAATGCACCATTGTTTTAGAGATCCATTTTTTACCAGTATTTCATTTTATAATTTTGTTTTTTCATTATTTCATATTTTTAGATGCAACTTATGACTACTAAGTGACATAAAAAAACAGACAGTACATACATGTACAGTACATCTACCTGTTCCTGGTCCACCAGATAAGGAAACCCTGAAAAACTGTACTGCACTGCATGGCTCCCCATCATTTGCCACCACAATCACTTTTCCTTCTGCAGTAAAGGATTAATGGTTTTACAGTACTTCAAGGTGGAAAAAAAATTGTTGTTTAACATGAAACATTTTATCCCAGAGTTTGCAAAATTTTCTCTCTACAAGTGAGTTCTTAAATCTAATGAAATGGGATTGAAAATGAGACAGTTTATACTGACAGCAACTCAACAAAGACTTCACATGGCTAACTCTAAGCAAAACATTAATTTTTACACGCGTTTCGAGTGTTCTCCCAACATACCATGTGGCTTAATCACATCTTAGAGCCTGGAAAAATGTGCCCTACTGCTTAATTATGAAGACCCCCTACAACCCATATGAAAGCATGGAATGACCTACATGTTGATAGACTGGTTTTGAGGAAGTATGGTTCCAAGCCCTAGTTATGGAGGCAATTTTTTTGTGCTTTTTAGAATGGGCAAGCCTGAACCCTCCCAGTGCCCCTCTCCACTGACAGGTGCTAGTGAGTTGTTGAGGGAATCTGAATTGCCCCCATTGTAATGAAAGCAGGATAAACTTGGCCTTCTCTGCAGAAAACTCTTTCTGCTGTTTGTCTGGTATTTCTAAAAGATTGCAAACATGCATTACACAGGGAATTCCTTATTTGAAAGAGGAACCGCAAGAGTTACAGAATTGTCCTACACAAGAAAAAGTCATAGCCACTGCTTTGGTCCAACAGAAGCTCATCACACATAGGCTTCTCCAATACACCTGTAATGGTAACAGGATTGAGGGAGTCTCTGTATCAAATCAATATAGTTGTCACAGTAAGCAGTGTAAGGTGAATTTAAAATTACCAGCAAGAGAAATATCCCACAGTTGTGCTATGCAAGGTTCAGTTCTGCTAAACTTATGAAATCAAAGTCTCAAAGAGTCCCTCAGAGTAAAACAATCTGTTGGTAGTATATTAATATAATTGTCTTGCAATGAGTAGAGAAAAACTGAGAAAGAAACTCTCGGCAAGGGAAAGTCATGTGTAGTTCTAAAAATCCAAAAAGGGATAACCAACCACAAAATTAATAGCTGTAATTAAGAGTCCAATGTTATTTTTCACAACTTTCATCCATAAATAAGATCATGCAAACAAAAGGAACAGCCTTCAGGTGTTATAATAACCCATTTGTCTGCATAACTGCCACTATCAAACACTAAAGCATGCAGAACACTTACTGCTAGTAAATGCCAGATCAGCCACAGCCACTCTTGTCCGCACTTGAGCCAAGCATTTCCTTGTGACTTGTACTTCTGGCTTAATTGTGGTCACACAAATCTACAGATTATACACACTCAATCAAATCACATACATTTAAAAACAATAACTTTATTGACCACCAACTGATTACCTTTAACCTTTTTCACCCAACATCAGTATGTATATTCTCTAACCTGTTCTCTATTAACATTTTCCAAGTTTTGGGATCATTTCCTTTTTTCTTGTGACCTTAGAATGTGTGATTCAGGGGTGATACTGTAAGGCGAAATAGTATGCTAGTTTCTAAGGATCAAGGATTAAACTATGTCTTTTTGTAATTATCATTGGTGTTCCTTCATAAGCCAACTTTCTTGGTAAATCCAATCAATAATTTATCCAGAGTGCTGAAAAGAATGCAATATTTGCTCCAAAGAAAGTACATTTGAGAGAAATCCTAAGGTGACTCATTGGTCTTTATTGGTCATTTTTAGGTGATTCCTCTGGGAAAAAAAAGGTTATCAAATAATTTTCAGTGAATTAAAAAATTATTATGAAAAACATAATTAGGTCACCCTGCTTGTTCAAGAGATATGATGAGCCAAACTGACCTCATTTATGCCTATGCTGGAACTAATCACGCACATCATTTCATGGGTTCATGGTACATTTTGAGGTAGCTGGAAGCAAGGGTTTTTTAAGTAACACTTGAAAAAAAACCTTAGACGCAGGAAGTCTTGAGCATATTGAACAATCCCCTTATTCAAATATCCAAGAGGAAGTCAAACTCTTCATGAGAAATACTGTGTACTTGCTTCGAAAAAAAAAAACAAAACAAAACCTGAAGCATGCCTGCACTGCTACATGTACCTGACTAGGACCAGGCATTGACAACTCCCAAAAATGACCCACATGAAAATTCTCCCTTTAATATCCCCACAGATTACTCAAACTCATCAGGTAGAAGTTGTTATCTTGATCTAACACCAAATTCTTGTCACTAATTTACAATGAAATGTGTAGCAGCTATAGGGGAGAATTAACAATCATATCTTGGGAGTTAGAGAGTTAATCTCCAAGAGCGACTGATGTACTAATTCTCCTCAATAAACTGCCATTGAATCACACAATAAGATTAAGAGATTAAATGGTATAATTGACAACTTAAAGAAATTCTCCTATTCATCACTATGGAAATGTATGGAGAACACCATGGAGAATATGCAAGCTGACGTTAGGGCATAAAGGGTTGACAAGGAGATGGCCATGCTGCAAGTTAAAATAACTTCAGGTTAAAATGATTACAACTAGCTTTGCATGTAAAGTCATATCTTCCTTTGCCCATGCATTGTGGTAGTGTTTCTGACACAGTAATTGGAGAAAATTCATTTATTATGACTAGTTTAAAATAATCTTGAGCTTAAACATATGCAGAAGATGTAACTTACTAGACCAGTTTCACTTATGGCCACCCAGCCATCCTTGGCTCTCATACCACCAATCTCTACTAAAGGGGGCTTGCTTCGATTCGTCTTAAAGCGATCACTCAAATTCTTGTGCATGAAAGAATGTTGGGGATCTTCAGACAGGCTAAACAAATTCTAATGAAATAGAAAATTATCACCGAGATTGAAGGTGAGTTAAGTTAATAAAACAAAGCTAACAGCAAGAACTTTGTCAAACCTGTCTTTGGTTACAGGTTATTAATAATTCATTTGTCTAAATTTTAAATAATATTAACAAGATGTTTGCTTTTTTTTTTAAACTCAAGCACAACAGTAGAGAAACAGGGCAGGGAGGCTGCCCAAACTTCTGGGATGAGTAACTTCCCACATGGAAAAAAAAAAATGATCTCACTTATCCGATCAGACTAAAAATGGGAAATAAACCTTTTTTCCTGACATTGGACATGATTGTCATATACTTTGATAACTTTGCTGCCCATAAAAAGAAGTATCCCTTACTGAGAGTAAAAAAAAAAAATCATTTTATGCACAATGCATGTTTCATTTTGTCATGCGAAATGCAGGTGTTAATTTCTGCTTCTTACTCTGAAGTTGTCATTGTCTGTTTTTTTTTTTTTGGCAAGTGAGCAAATGTGCCACCTTTACCTTAATGCCAGTATCTATCCATGAGATAGCAACCAATCTTTCTCCTTCCCCCACATCAATAGTACAGATGCATTCCCAGTCATTTACCATATGATTCTGTTGATGAAATAATTACACACAAACAAAAATTTAGATGACTATAATCTTCAATCACACTCAAATGAACTTGAACTTGAACTTGACATAATTATAGAAAAATTGCAAACCACATTGTTATTAGTTAGTCATCTGATAACACCATATAAATTTAAAGAAAGTGTATCGTGGAGAAAAGTGGAAGAGGTCTGCAGGATGGTAAATACACATCTTATAAATTAACAATGTCCAAAACAAACTCACAATCCCTTTACACCCTAAAAACAGTATCAATGTTCTCCATACTTTCCTCTACACATTTCATTTAGGACTGACAAGGAGAATCTGTTTAACAATCAAAGCTTCTTAGGTTGGTGATTACATGTATTTTCTTTTATTCTCGTGATCTTAATGAATGATTCAACAGTACTACCAGAGGGAGAAATTAACTGCTGGTCACTTTTAGGTATTAAAGGTTTAAATAAAGTTAAAATATAGAGAGCTTTTACTGATTGCTAAAACTCAACTTAGGGGGTTGGTAAGGGGAGGTGACATGCACAAGCCACACCTAGTCCAATAGGTAAAAAAATATTGAACTACAGTACATGTAGGTGCTCCAAGATTAGTACCATTCTGTTGAGAGATTGTTTGATGTTAATTAAAGCTAATTTGGTTTTACCGAGTTGGTAGTGTAAATTGGCCACCATACCTAGTTCCCAAAGCTGATGTTTCAAGCTTTAGCCCTTGGTCAGAGCAAAAGCTGTATGCTTGCATAAAGTAATCATTGATCATAAAATTTCAACAAAAGACAGGAAATGCAGATAAACCATCAGTAACCTTAGACAAGCATGAATCTGGTTTTATTTTCAAAAGGCATGAATGCAAAACTAATCTGGAAAAAAAAAAAGAAGAAAAATCCAAAAATTGCATAGGAACTGACCTTCATAGCCCAGAGTTTGCATACCCCAACAAGGTCTGTTGAGAGAAGTCTTGATCCTGTTCCATCCCATGTTAGAGTTTGGATTAAACCCTCATGACCAGAGCTAAAACTTCAAGATGAAGTAAGAAAATAATAACAAAATGTTCAACAACTTTCACCACCAACATTTTTCTTGACATATAAATTATCCTTTCAATGATAATTGAAAAGAGGAGATTTAAAATCTCAACATTGAGCTTCTTCAGCTCATCAGATTTTCATTTAGGCCAAATAATAATAATAATAATAATAATAATAATAGAAATATTGCTGAGAATGCAGAAAACTGTATTAAGTAGCACTCTGAACATTGCAAGAACATTTAAACTGGTAACATCGTAAGAATTTTAAGGACATTATGATTTGGTTTTTATGAACAGTATTTTATGAACATTTTAAGTTAAGGATATTTTAAGAGCTGAACAGTACATCATGAACATTTGAAAAAAAACATCTTAGTATTGGGCCAATCGACACTTTAATTGTTTTATATTGATCATTTATATTTAAGTAGCATTAGATA